GTGTGTGTGTGTGTGTGTGTGTGAGAGAGAGAGAGGGAGAGAGGGAGGGGGAAGGAGGGAGGAGGGAGGGAGGGAGGGAGAGGGAAGGAGGGAGGGGGGAGAGGGAAGGAGGGAGGGGGGGAGAGAGGGAGAGGGAGAGGGAGAGGGAGAGAGAGAGAGAGAGAGAGAGAGAGAGAGAGAGAGAGAGAGAGGGAGAGAAAGAGAGAGAGCGAGCGAGCACACGTGTGCCCACAGCCAGATTATGATCAATTTATTTGCTTTGAGGTGGTCTAGCAGTTTCTCCTCTTCCTCTTGGGGGAATGTCAATCAAAGCAAAGAACGGTGGGCGGGCCCAGCCTGAGTCGCCGGCGGGCTGGCTGAAGGCGCAGGGTCCTCCGGGAGACACACAGCAGGGAAACAAGACAAGGGGAAAAGCCCACAGCAGGCTCCCTGGCACGTTCCCCTTTTCTCACCTCTCCAGGCTTCTCTCCTTTCCTTCTTCTCCAAGGTAATGACACAGAGGACTCTCTGTCACGGGGTATGAAGGGTGCGGGAAGAGCGGTTCTGGGGGACCAGATGAGATGCTGGGTTCACTCCCTTTCCAGGAGCCGGTTCCCCGGACACCCAAGTTCCCATCCCAGTCCTACCCACTTCCTGGTTATGCATCTTTAGGGATGTCACTCGGTACCCTTGGATCTCAGTTTCCACGCTTGCCATGCGGATTATAATACTGCCCGCCCTGAAGGACAGGTGAGGGGGCATGGGGGCGGGGGCCCCCTGGTGGGCACACGTCAAATACAACACGAACCCCATCTCAACAGTTCCCACCAAGAACTTGTGTTACATTTATAAAAATATAAAAGAAAGGCTAATGGCGTGTCTAGCACACCTACTCCATTCTTCACTTAAATCCCCCAAATCAGGAGGTTCGTAGTGAAGGAGAAAAACTTAGATCACGGATTGAATGCAGAATTTTCAAGTGCCACCCAATCCCAACGCTCCACGCCCGCACAGCAGAAACGTGCCTTGGCTGTTTATGTGAACAGTTCAAAATTCCACAATCATATTGACATTTTCAACTTTCAGAAAGGATCACCTGCTGCTAAAGATAACAGGGACTTTGCATCAATAAAAGGAGAGGGCTAGTGCCCTTCAAGATCACTGTCAATTTTGCTTTGGAGTACAAAGTAACTTTTTTTTCCCTTCCTTTTCTTTCATTAAAAAAAAAAAAAGATTTACTGATCTAATGTAGTTTACTGGGGTTAACAGTAATACCAGTTTGCACTTCCTAAAAAATGTTACAACCAAGGAGATGGGAGCATCTGGAATCCCTGAAGCATGCTGGTTGGTTGGTTGCTTATCCAGATATACATAGACAGATAGACAGATATAGGCAGATGGGTAGATAGGCAGATCTACATACATAAATACATACGTGATCTGTGTAATATATATAAATAATATTCTGATGCTATTTCATTGAGCCATTATATTTCCATTTTCAGATTTAATTTTTTAAAATTATACATATATGTATAATGGTTTTATACACACACACACACACACACACACACATATAATTTTAGAACTCCACCTTGGAAACTGAAACTTAATGGCTTAATGAGAGCATCAGACAGCTAATTGCTGGGGAGAATAAGCACCACTCTTTACTCTCTGGATTTGACCATAAAGACAGTTAATAAGGAAAATGGCCGGGAGGAAAATTGGTTTCTAAAAACTAATCAAGCCAACAGAATGCAGCTCCCAGCAAGGGAAACACATCTCTTTCTCTACCATTTTTGGTTAAGATTTGGGGGTCTTCAAAGGGTGGCTGTCTTTGTGTAACAAATCCAGTGGGCACTCTGTGTAGATGGCCCCCCGCCTCGGAGGGGGCTCCAGTGGATCCCTTCCCATGTGCGGGGAGGCTGAGCCTTCTGCTTTCTGAGGCTGTTGGGAGCCAACAGAGAAAAGAAAGAAACTGGTTCTGAGATGGCAGGAATAAGAGGAATTAGGAATCCAATGGAGTGGGGCTGACCAGTGACAACAGCATGGGGACGAAGGAGGCCACACTCACGCTCACGTTTTGCCTGCCTGGAGAAACGAGAGGATTTAATGGGGACAGAACGGAAACCTTGCCAGGCTGGGAACACACTTTCTCATGCTGTTCCCACTCAGCGACCACAAGGAACCCATGAAGAATGGCTTGGTTTCTAGTGGGAAACAAATGCCACCCAACAGGGGTCCAGAGAAGGGGAGAGACATGGCTGGGGAGAGCTCTGTATTCCTCCAGCTTCAGCTCAAAGCAGAGATGCCTTCCTGAAAATGAAGGCCGCAGGACAGACTCTCCAAGGGACGTTCAGATTATTACTGACCATTAATGCAAAAAAGGACCACAGGGCTGCAAGACAGAGCATCAGTCATCCTCAAGCCACACTGTGGCGCTTCTTACACAGAGAGGGTGGGGAGGCCAAGATGTGTATGGTAGGAGCTGTCTGTGACCAGCTGGATGGTAGAAGACCCTAACAGAGCCCAGGCCAGGTTTAGAGTCTCACGGTGGCTCTCAAACTTGAGCGTGCAAAAGTGAATGAAGGAACAAATGAATAAACAAAAAACAACGGAAGGTCACCGTTTAGGAAGCCTGAGCAAAGTGTAGGTTCTTGTGTTCATCTCAGCACACACGTGCCAGAGTTAGAAAGACACAGAGGAGACGAGCATGGCCCCGGAGCAAGGATGACCCCACACTGGTGACGCATTCCATATTTTTCTTTCTCCCTTTATTTTTTTTTAAAGTTATTTATTTATTTTATTTATTTTTGGCTGTGTTGGGTCTTTGTTGCTGTGCGCGGGGCTTTCTCTAGCTGCGGCGAGCGGAGGCTACTCTTTGTTGCGGCACGCGGGCTTCTCATCGCGGTGGCTTCTGTTGTTGTGGAGCACGGGCTCTAGGCGTGCGGGCTTCAGTAGTTGTGGCTCACGGGCTCAGTAGTTGTGGCTCACAGGCTTCAGTAGTTGTGGCTCACAGGCTTCAGTAGTTGTGGCTCACGGGCTCAGTCGTTGTGGCTCATGGGCTCAGTAGTTGTGGCTCGCAGGCTCTAGAGTGCAGGCTCAGTAGTTGTGGCTACGGGCTTAGTTGCTCCGTGGCACGTGGGATCTTCCCGGACCAGGATCGAACCCGTGTCCCCTGCCTTGGCAGGCAGATTCTTAACCACTGCGCCACCAGGGAAGCCCACATTCCATATTTTTGAAATAGGGAGTTAACAAATTATCGACTGAAAAAAAAATGCACAACCTAAAAGCTGAGAATTATGTTTTATTTGGTGGACTTGCTGAGGACTTCAGCCCAGGAGACAGCCTCTCGGATGGCTCTGAGGGAGGCTCCGAAGAGGCAAGCGGGGGAGCCAGGATATACAGGAATTTTTGCAAAAATAAAAAAAAGTCAGAACATCAAAAGAAAAACCCGACATCTGCATGGGAAGATGCAAGCGTCTGGCTCATTGAAATCATGCCTTTGATGTGCACCTTAACCATCTAGGGCCAGTCTCCTGTTTTTGTCCATCCCAAATCCCCTCAGGGTGCACAGTCCAGGGTGGCTACAGTGGCTGATGGCTTGATGGCCTCAACATCCTTTGTTTACAGACATGGCAGGTGACATTCTTTGTCCTCAGAATCAAAGGGCATAAAATTTTAGTTAGGCACAATGAGATGCTTCAGTTCTTGAGATCTGTTGTACCACACTGTACCAACAGTCAACAATAATGTGTTGTACACTAAAAAAGTTTAAGAGGGTAGATCTCACATTAAGTAGGCTTACCATAAGAAAATAAAATTTAAAAAGAAATATCACCTAAATAACTTTCGTAACACTTGTACCTTAGAAGAAATTTTTAAGAGCAGATTCTTGGAACTCATGGTAGGCCTGGGCAGGGCTCAGGAGTCTGCAGGTATGACAGACACTTTAGAAAACATAACTTAGGGGACAGAGAAGGATCCAGGAAAACGATGGAAACCCATTAGCAATGGACCCCCAAGCTTGCTATGTCCAGCCCTGGTCTCTTGCCAGCTGTTCACTGGGTGTCTTCACCTGTGGGTCTCATCATCATTTTGCTCACCTTGCACCGAATGGAACACATCACCTTATGCCCCCAATGTGTTCCCACTCTTGTAATCGCTCTTAGGATAACCCATTCCGTAATCACCTCCACTTACCAAATGAGGAACGTGGGAGCAAGCATCAGTGCAGAAAGCCCAAGGAACCCACACTGAGAAACCCTGTTCCAAGGGGACCCAGGGGAAACCCATGGAGGGATGCTGGGGGAGTGAGTGCAGAGGGGACGGGGCACGGAGGTGTGCTCTGTCTGGGGAATAACGTGCCACGCCTTTGCTCAACGGTCCCTGACTCTGGTCCAAAGGACATGAACAAGAACAGAACATCCGACCCAGACACAGCTACCTGGCGCTTTCCTTGAAATTATCAGAGTGTAGCATTTACCCACCCTAAACCCCCCGGCAAGTTCTCCCCTGCCCACCAAAATCTGTCCCCCATTTTTCCACTGCAGCCCCCAGCCTGCGGAGAAGTCAGGTCTGGGCTCAGCAGAGCTTGTAGGACCGCCAGTGCCAGAGGCAGGTAGCCGGGGTGGACTACACATAGCAGTGTGCCTGCCGCCATGGCAACCCACAATTAACCAGGGATGGGGAAGAAGGTGCTCAGCTAACTGAAACCCAGGCAACGTTTTAACTCAAACCCCGAGGAAGTTAGTGCTCCGTTAGATTTTCTCCTGTCCTCTTTCCCCACACCCCGTCTTTTCTTGTCACCAAGTGGCTTTAAACCATCTCCTCCCTCCACCCACCCCTCAAAATCACCTCCGAAGATGAGGCTTTTGATAAACCACTGAGCCAAATCTCCCTCCCACACAGCACACTCAGGCACAGGGCAGCCTGAGAACCCCGCTCTGTCAACTCTCCATCTCAGAGGAAATTCTGTTTGCCCCAAAGATTCTTTGGAACGCCTTGGCTTCCCTATCACCTCCTCACTGCGGGAACCCAGGACGGATATTGTCACATGGTAGTAGGACTGAGAATCACCTGGTGAATTTTAAAGGCAGGATCTTCGGCTCCGTCCCTAGAGAGTTGACTTTGGCAAATCGGGGGCAGGCATAAGCATCTCTATCTTTTTTTCCAGCACCCTGAGGAGTCTTGATATAAACAGATCAAGATTCACCTGGTGAGAAATGTAAACCAACCAGTTTGGGGTTTTCCCATAGCTCTGTATTTCACAGGGCGGGCTGAGCTCAGCTAAAGCTGGACATTTAAATGGCCTCTTGCCCATGAAATGAGCCACAGACTGTGAAAGGGTTAACAGGAGACCCCTGCTGCTGCAAGGTGAGTTCCCTAACACATGTTCTGAATACGGCCGGATGCACATGGGAAACACCTCCTAGGTTCCTCACCCTCAGGGCATGCCTTCTCCAAGCTGCGAGGTGGGACAGGAAAACAAACACGCTCAGAACCCCAAACATTCACGAAGAACTCAACGCTTATAAAATGAGTCCCTACGCAAAAGTTCCCTCCCAGCCTAACAGTTTAACAGAAGTCCTAACCCACCTCTTACGTCAGTCAGGTCTTCAGGATCGTGGACATTTGTTCATATTTTCATTTCCTTGTCAAATGTATGGAAACGTCAAATCACAAGTCATGAAAAAGATACAAGTTCGTGAAGCTGCAGGAAGTGAGGGTGAAGGATGGCTTGTTGCCTGGCAGAACCTGGGACACAGAGGACCTGGAGAACAACTGAAGACGAGACGTAGCAGAATTTGTTTGCAGATTTAAGTCTCTGCCCAAGATATGTCAGTTTTCAGCAAGATTAAAGATGAAGATAAAACCAAAATCTCCCTCCACAAACACCTAGAAATGATGCATGAAATAAACAAATCAAAAGGATTTCAAATACACATCTGAGCTTGCAACAAAGAAAGGGAATCAGGAAGCATAAGGAGGCTAGAAACCAGAGCCTATACAACAAAACCAGTCCAGAGGCTGCCTAGGGATTAACAAGGTTTCCAAGAATAGGTCCTGGGTGTTACTGTCCACCTGGGGGCCTTGGGCCACATCAAGTAGGAGGTGAAATTCTACAAATGCAAGTGTCATAAAATTCTGTCCCTGTGTGGAAGAGTGGGCTAGAGAAAAAAGTCCATCCAGCTGCACAGAGGGACAAAAAAGATGACTACATGTTTCTGCCTGGTCTCTGGAGGAAAAAAGAAATACTTGTAAAATTAAAACCTTGGGCTTATACTTTGAACAGGTCGGACTTCTGAGTTTCTGCTTTCTATATGGGCTAGGAAACCCCAATCTGTACATCACTGTAGAAATTGGTTCTAGGCTAATGTTATTGCAAAGAGGTCTTACATAAACAAATGCAAAACTACTCTGAAGGGTTTTCCACGATGCGGGACACTAGGAATCCTTAAGGAAAAATGCAGCCCACTAAACAAGGATTGATGGTAAAATGTTACAAAGCCTAGAAGAAAACAACACACTACGAATTGGAGTCAGTGGACACACACAGAGGGAGACACATGGCCTTTATGTAATAGACATGATTTAAAACATACATGCACCCCAATGTTCACAGTAGCATTATTCATAATAGCCAAGATATGGAAGCAACCTAAGTGTCCATCAACAGATGAATGGATAAAGAAGATATGGTATATATACAATGGAATACTACCCAGCCATAAAAAAGAATGAAATTTTGCCATTTGTAATGACATGGATGGACTTGGAGGGTATTATGCTTACTGAAATAAGCCAGACTGAGAAAGACAAATACTGTATGATATCCCTTATATGTGTAAAAAACAAACTAGTGAAAATAACAAAAAAGAAACAGACACATGGATACAGAGAACAAACGAGTGTTTGCCAGTGGGGAGAGGGAAGGAGGGAGGGGCAAGATAGGAATAGGGGATTAAGAGGTACAAACCATTATGTATAAAACAGATAAGCTACAAGGATATATTGTACAACTCAGGGAACACAGCCAATATTTTATAATAACTGTAAATGGAGTATAACCTTTAAAAACTGTGAATCATTGTTGTACACCTGTAACTTATATAATATTATATAACAACTGTACCTCAATTATATAAATATAATATATAATATATGCCTAACCTGATTAAAGATATAAGAGAAGAAATTAAAACCATAAGAAAAGAAGCACATGTAACAAAGAAAAAGCAGACATCTTAACAAGAACCCACTAGGACAATTAAAAAATAAAAAACTATAGTCATTTCACTTAAAAACTCGACAGACAAGTTAAATTGTAAACTAGGATCAACTCAGGGACTTATCAATGGACTAGAGAATAGATCTAAAGCACAGAAAAGTAAAGGGATGGACAACGTTAAGAAATGCTTAAGACACATGGGAGATAAATAAGAACACAGGATATACATCTAAGTTATAATAACTGTTGCAGGAGAAGAAAATAAAGAATATGAGGGAGAGGCAAACTTGAAGAGATAATTACTAAAAAACTTTCCCGGAATAATATAATAATAAAACGAGCATTCAGACTAAAAGAGCAGTCCAAGTCTTAAGCAAAACAAACACACACGTGCGCGCGCGCGCACACACACACACAAAGCTACGTCATACTGAAAATAAAAAACACCAAAACAAGTGAAAAACGTATAAGCAACCGGAAAACTGAAATAAGGCTGCTGTCGTATGGATTTTTATGATGCCTGCAGAGAATAT